GCTAAATGAAATAAGCCAATCCCAAAAAAACAAAGGTCAACCATTCTCTATGATATGCAAATGCTAACACACAAAAGGCAGAGGGGAAGAATGAGCCTTTAGTGGATTAGACAAAGGGGAATGAATGGAAGGGAGTGGGGATGGAAATAGGAAAGACAGTGGAATGAATCAGACATAACATTCCTATGTTCATATATGAACACACCACAGTGAAATTTCACATCATGTACAACCACAAAAATTGGATCCTAATTAAAATAACTTATACTCCATGTACGCAATATGTCAAATATACTCTTTTGTCATGTATATATAAAAAGAAAAAACAAAAAAAATAAAGAAGCCAAGAATTTTTCAAGTATTAGTGAAAATGCCAAGTGCAAGAATTCAGTATTTTTAGAAATAATGTCACCTATTTTCTCGATTATAATAATACACAGCTATAATCCTTAAAATAATGAGGTAGACCTAAAGTTTTTATTTTCCAGGACAAAATACTTTCACTTCTATATTCCTAGATTTCATATCACACCTAATGCCCTGTCCCCAGGTAAGCACAGCACACCTGTTGCTATACATATATTTTATGTCTAAAAAAATTATTGAATTGGCATCATGAAGGTGGTTTCGTTTTTTTTTTTATTTAGCTTATTTTGTTAATCCTGATTATTTTTAGATTTATCTATTTTATTATATTTAACAATGGTTATTTCTTTTTTATTTATTCTTTATTGTTTTTGCTTTTGCAGTTTGGGGGGTTAAACTTAGGACCTTGTACTTGTTAGGCAAGTGCTCCACCCCTGAGCTATGCGGCCCCCAACTTAGTTCATTCTTTTTTATTCCCAAATAGTATTCCAAGGTATAGCTGTAGCACAATGTGTTTTATATTTTTACTTGTTGATAGATATTTGGAATGTTTCCAATTTGGGGACTTTTTTTTTTTAAATTGGACTGAGGATTTAACTCGGGAGTGCTTTACCCTTAGCTCTTTTTATTTTTTATTTTGAGAAAAGATCTCACCAAGTTGTTCAGGTCTCACTAAATTGCTGATGCTGGTCTTGAACTTGTGATCCTTTTGTCTCTGCCTCCAGAGCTGGTATGATTATAGATATATGCTACCATGCTGGTCTCAGTAGGGACTCTTGTAAATAAAACTCCTATCAGATTTCCTCATAAGTTTTTTTCATGGAATATGTAGTTTTTTTTCCCCTTTGAGTAAATGTTTAGGAATAGATGACTGGATCACATCTTAAATATAAGATTAACATGAATAGAAACTACCAAACTGTTGGCCATGGTTGTACCTTTTCCATTGCCACCAGCAGTATATGAGAGTTGTGTCTTCCACAATCCTGTCAGTGCTTGGTATGGTCAGTCTTCTCAATTTTGTCCATCCTCATGGGAATGTGCTAGTATCTCATTGTTATTTTCTCTTCCCTTTTCCTAATGATTAATTATGAGCATCTTTTTGCATACTTGACATTCATATATCTTCTTTAGCAGTGTGTCTATTCAAATCTTTTGCCTGTATGTCTTCTGGGGTGCCTTATTTTCTTCTTTTAACTTCTGTGGGATTTTTCCTATTCTAGATACAAATCCTTTATTAGCTATATGATTTTCAACCATTTAATCACAGCCAGGTGTTTGTCTTATAATTTTTTCAACTGTGACTTTGGGGAGATAGTTTTTTTTTTTTTTTTGGGGGGAGAGGTACCAGGGATTGAACTCAGGGGCACTCTACCACTGAGCCACCTCCCCAACCCTATTATGAAATTTATTTAGAGACGGTGTCTCACTGAGTTACTTAGCACCTCACTTTTCCTGAGGCTGGGTTTGAACTTGTGATACTCTTGCTTTAGCCTCCCGAGGCACTAGGATTACAGGGGTGTAACACTGTGCCCAGCTAGAGATTTTAACTTTGAGGAATTCCAAAGTGTTGAGTTTTTCTTTATATTTTTCTTTTCTTTCTTTCTTTTTTTTTTTCTTTTTTCTTTTGTAGTGCTAGGGATTTGAATCCAGGGCCTTGTGCATGTGAGGAAAGCACTCTACCAACTGAGTTATATACCCAGCCCTGAGTTTTTCAATTATGAATTATGGTTTTGGTGTCTTATGTATGAAATTATAATCTAATCCAGAGTCACATGGACTTTCTTCTTTTTCTCCTAGATGTTTTATAGGTTTAGGTTTTTATGTGTACATTTATCATCCATTTTAGTTGATTTTTGTTTATGATATGGCATATGGATCATAGTTCATATTTATACATATGGATATCCAACTGTCCTAGCACCATTTGTTGAAAAGACTAATCTTCTTCCTAAATTGCCTTTCTCAATTTGTGAAAAATCTGTTGTCCATGTTGATGTGGGTGTATTTCTCCACACTTCATTGTGTTCCTTTGATGGATTTGTCTATGTTGATGCCAGTGGTGTGCTGTCTTGGTTACTGAATGATCATAACAAGTTTGAAAATCAGGTGTATTGCTTTTTAACTTTGTTCTTTCTCAAAGTTGTTCTCATATTCTGGATCTTTTGTATTTTCACCTGAATTTTAGAATCAGCTTGCCAGTTTCTTTAACATTTTTGGTAGGATTTTTATTGGGATTGCATTATATCTGTAAATTGGTTTTGAGAGAATAGATCTCATAATAATACTAAGACTTACATCGTATGAATATGGTTCCTCCACCATTGATTTAGAGTCTTTTTAATTCCCTCAGCAATATTTTGTGTTATTCAGTATACAGGCATTGCACATTTTGTGGCCAAATTTTCATAATATTTTATACAATGTTGGCACTATGTATTGAACACAGAAGCTCTCTACCACTGAATTATATCCCCAGATATTTTTTACTTTTTTTATTCTTTATTTTATTTATTTATTTTATATGGTGCTGAGAATCAAACCCAGTGCCTCACACATGCCAAGCAGGTGCTCTACCACTGAGCTACAATTCCATCTACTTTTTTTTTTTTTATTTTGAAGCAGGTTCTTTCTAAATTTTTGTGGCTGGCCTACAACTTGCCATTCTCATGCCACATAGCTGAGATTAGAGGCCTGTGTCACTAAACATGGCAATATTTAATTCCTAATTATAGTATTTTCTGTGAACTGTCAGCATCCAAATGTTAATTCTACTTGTGAGGGATCTGTTTGGTTGAAAATGTAGGTTAGTCCAGAATAGAAAAAGTATTTGATATGTTTTAAAATTTCTAGTATCATAATTTAAAAGTAATATGTCTCATTATATGAATTAATTAATCAATATCATGGGCAGAATTGTATATGAACACTTGGAGAGATTTGTACATTCAGATTCCCGGTGGCTTCAGGAAACAATAGGAAAACCTTTAGTGAAATTTCAGGTTTTATTACTTCTCTTGTCCATCACTCTTGTCCATCATGAAAATGATGCTTTCCTGACAGAAACTATAGTAAAGGGTAAATAAGATTCCTATTATAGAGCATTCAGCACATAGTAGGTCTTCAAGAAATTTCCATCCTGGTCTGGGGTTGTAGCTCATTGGTAGAGCATTTGCCTAGTATGTGTGAGGCACCGGGTTATGCTTAGCACTACATGTAAGTAAATAAAATAAAGATCCATTGACAACTAAAAAAAATTTAAAAAAATAAAAAGAAATATCTACCCTACCCACCTTTCCCCTCGTTCCCAGAAAACTAATGACAGGTACCTAAACCCAGCAATATAACTGTCCCAGAGACCACCATGAAATGTGGCAATAAAAAGTAGCATATAAGGACTGGGGTTACAGCTCAGTGGTAGAGTGTTTGCCTAGCATGGGTAAGCAACTGGGTCCGATCCTCAGCACCACATAAAAATAAATAAATAAAATAAAGGTCCTTTGTCCATCTACCTAGGAAAATATTTTTTAAAGGAACTAGCATATACTCACACTTATGTCATGAATGAAGCCTTGAGGACATTATGTGTCTGTCTTTATGTGTGGTTTTTCTTTTTTCTTTTTCTTTTGGTACCAGGAATTGAACTCAGGGGCACTTGACCACTGAGCCACATCCCCAGCCCTATTTTGTATTTTATTTAGAGACAAGGATTCACTTACTTGCTTAACATCTCGATTTTTGCTGAGGCTGGCTTTGAACTTCTTATCCTCTTGCTTTAGCCTCCCGAGCTGCTGGGATTGCAGGTATGCTCCACCATACCTAGCTATGTGTGTTTTTTAAAATTTTTTTTAGTTGTAGATGGACACAATACCTTTATTTTATTTTTATTTTTATGTGGTGCCAGGGATCGAACCCAGTGCATCATGCATACTAGGCAAGTGCTCTACCACTGGGCCACAAGCCCAGCCCTATGTGTGGGTTTTGCAGGATACTTTCCTGAAGGATTTCAGGAGAGAAAAGATCATGAAACAGTTCCTTTAATTCTGTTTCATTTTCTGTCCCCTTTTTGATATTCTAGTTTGATATTGGAGAAACTATTTCCATACTGATCTCCAAATTAGAAAATGAAGATAAAGGGGAGAGGCAGGAATCATGAGCTCTTGACACTGATGCTAGTCCCATTACCTCCTATACTGCCCTGCAGTGAGATTCCATCTGCACCATCAGCTTCTTCAAAGTTATTAGGGTTTTTGAATGAATACCTACAAGGGCACAATACTAAAATAATAGTTTTTAAAACCCTAGATGGTCACGATGTATAAGGGAAGGTACTGAGTGTCCTTAGGGAAAGACAAGAGTTAGAATCTCACTTCTTACTAGATGACTCTGAAGAACTGATTGTTGATTGTTCATCAATGAGTTTGATTTTGTCATCTGTAAATTGGGAATAATGATGCCTTCCTCATAGAATCATTGTGAGAAGATTACATCAAAATGCATTTAGCCATCAACCTGTAAGTGACATCACAGAATAGGTTCCCCATTTGCAACTGTTTTTCCTGTAAACTGTTTCTGGTATTTCTTTAATGAGATGATCTTGTTTTTTTTTTTTTTTTTTTTTTAAATAATCTTAGTGATGCTGCATGACCATACTTATGCACAGGCCCTAGACTTTCTGCAGACCAGACCTAAGAGTACAGCAACTGACAGGGGTCTCACTTGCTTCTTCCTTAAATGTTGGTAAGTGTCTACACAAAGAAATTGTGACAATCTTTTCCTCTCTCAAATTGCATGAAGTTCTCATGTCCCCACATTTTCCATTTAAAGGCAGTGCAATATAAACACCAAATCATTGATTGGGTTTGTTAAAATTATTCCAGAACCTTACAAGGCATAGATGGGACCCTTGTCATTGAATTTAGGTACCCACGTGTGAAGTATGCTGCTATGTTGTGCAAGTTTGTCCCCTCCAGAAGCCATGTTAGGATTTAATCGCCATGTGACAGTATTGGGAGGTGAAACCTCTGAGAATGGATTGTACTGTGAAGTCCCTGCCCTCAAAATGGATCATTGCTGTTATCACAGGAGTGGGCTCCTTATAAAAGTGTACGTTTGGCTCCTTTTCACTCTTTCTCTCTCTTCTGCAATCTCACCTTCTGCTGTGTGATTAGGCAGCAAAAATAGCCTCACAAGATATTGGCATGTTGATCTTGGGCTTTCCAGCTTCTAGAACTGTGAGGAAATAAATTTCTGTGGTTTATAAGTTACCCAGTCTTAGGTATTTTTTATAGCAGCACAAATGGACTTAGGCCATTTATATGGAAATATGATAAGGAAAATGAAAATCAATCTAAAATTCCAACAAAAATATATCAACAAATCATAATATTGCAAAGCCCATTGTTTGCAGAGATCTAGTAAAATAGGTACACTTATTTTTGGTTCGCACACATTAGAAATGTTATACCAAGACCCTCAAATAACTCTCAGACCACACATTTCCACAAATTAAGCATTTAATGCTGTCCAGAGGTGGACAGTCTGCTCTCCAAAGAACGAGATAATCATAGTGGTGTGCCTACCTTCAGTTGGCCTCATATTTAAGCCAAAAAACCACAAAAGGAACGTTTAGGGGTTTAGCAAATGGAATCAAGTGAGTATAGAAGCTGAATTGAGCAGCTAATGAGACAAGGCAATGGGCACATTGGTATTTCCTACAGGACTTTCCAGGTTGGACTAGCAGCAAGCAAGCAGAAGGGAAGTGGGTCAAAATGACAATAGTTGAGTACAAGTTAGAAAATGGTTACTAACATCTAGACAATCTCTGACAAGGTACATTGCCCAAGAAAAATGGAAAGCAAAGAGAACCATTTTACATTGTATAAGAATTACTATTTTGTGTTGCCAAGTATGTTATGCTAGGTAACTATTAATGGGTACAGAAGTGAGGCTTTCCTACGGGAGAAGCATTTCTTACATGATATGGAGTCTCAGGGTAAAATGGAGTCTGTTTGGTCATTGCCCATATAGCCTGGCTCATAACAGTAAAGAGATTTTAAAGTTCAATGAAACCTGTTATAATATGTATGTCCTTTAACAGTCTCAGTTGTGGGAACCTAACCACAAGATACTGGCTAGTGTGACTTCTGCCATGATCATTTTATGTGTGCACTGCGTGGGTCAGAGATGACCATTTTCCTAGCTAGATCAGTGCCTTCAGGACCCCAACCATGCTACATCCTTCCTTCCATCCAAAAAGGACACTCTTTCTTATGGATGGATTTCCAGACTCCGTGAACGTCCCAGAGGCCTCCAAGCATTGATATGAAGCCATACTGAGGTCTTAGAGTCAATTGTAGACCTCCAATTCCATCTCTATGTGGGGATAATCTCCCTTCCTCTCCCCTCTCTGTTCTTAGAGGCTCTTCCCTCCCTACCAATTCCAAGCAGCTCATTTTTCCCCAAAAGTTTAAGTTTCTATAAAGGATGGGAGAAACACTGCCTTCCAACAGCTTCTGCCTCCAGCACTGCCGTAAAACTACTCAGGAAAGGGGAAGGGGCACCAAGAATGGGTCCCTGCTTCAGAGTGGGTAAATACAGGGAGTACACAGTTTTACCTCCTCATTTGTATGTGTGCCAATATATTTACTAAGGATCTGCCACCAATCACTTAAGTTGTCCAGGCTGTCAGTTTCTCCCTGGATCTGGCAGTGGGCCTGGTGACCAACCTTCTTGACACCAGCTCTGTGGTTAGGAGCTCATGCTTGGTACTCAGATACATTCATGAAGAGAAGATATCCATGAAACACTAGTAGGGTTATCGTGAGATTTAATCCAGAAACTGAAGAACAAGAAGAGGACCCCTCTTAAGAATCTGCTTCGTAAACAGTAGGTGGTTTCCTCCCTGGAGAAGGGAAATCCTGTGGCAACTTGACCAGGTCCCTTAGCCTGGGCCCCTTCACCAAAATACACATTGAAATTACCTTGACAAGTCTTTTCTAAACCCTCATCAGGACTCCCTTGTTGGTAGAAAATAGGATTTCTGATTTACAAAGCTATTCAGGTTATTAAGTTTTAATAATATGGGACTCAGAAACAGATATGTCCAATGGGTACCTACAATGTAGGTAAGTGCCTTTTTCATCCTACCAACTAGTTTTGTTTTTTTTTTTTCCATAATGAGGATTGAACTCAGAGGCACTCAACCACTGAGCCACATCCCCAGCTCTGTTTGTTTTTAATTTAGAGACAGGGTCTCACTGAGTTGCATAGTGCCTTGTCATTGCTGAGGCTGGCTTTGAACTCTTGATCCTTGTGCCTCAGCCTCCCAAGCCACTAGGACTAGAAGTGTGCACCACTGCTCGCGGTGCAACTGGTTTTTTTCTTTTTTAATATTCTTCTTACTTGTGGATGGACACATTATCTTTCTTTATTTTTATGTAGTCCTGAGGATTGAACCCAGTGCCTCACATTTGAGAGGCAAGTGGTCTACCACTGAGCTAAGCCCAAGATCCCCAACTAGCTTTAAAAAAAATATATTAGTTGTAAGTGGACACAATACCTTTTTTTTTAATTTTAATTTTTTTTTCTGGTTGGATATAAAGTATATCCACACCACTTCATGTTTTCATACAACATGTACTTTGGATAATGATGTCCATCACATTCCACCATCATTGCTAACCCCCTGCCCCCTCCCTTCCCCTCTCACTCCTCTGCCCTAACTAGAGTTCATCTGTTCCTCTCATGCTCCCCCTCCCTACTCCACTATGAATCAGTCTCTGTATATCAGAGAAAACACTCTGCATGTTTTTTTTGGCGGGGGGCAGGGGGTGTTGGCTAACTTCATTTAACATTATCTTTTCTAGCTCCATCCATTTACCTGAAAATGCCATGATTTTATTCTCTTTTATTGCTGAGTAATACTCCATTGAGTTTTATGTGGTGCTGAGGACAGGACCCAGTGCCAACATATGCTAGGCAACCTCTACCACTGAGCTACAATTGCAGCCCTCCATTAACCAGCCTTTGTCAGTATTTCCAGGAATATGATTTTGTCTTGTTTTGCTAGAAGATTTTTTCTTTCTCATTAGATCATCTTATTTTCCCTAGACCTGTCCTAGTGAAATTGACATCTCAGATGACCTTTAAACTTACACATTCTGAGGCCATCACATGGAATTATCAGATGTAGCAAATAAAAATACAGGAAGCTAAGGTAAGTTTGAATTTAGAAACAAACAAATTTTTTTGAATGTCAAATAATTATACTAAAGTGATTTGTTGTTTATCTTCAATTCATTTCTAATAGGTCTATTTTATTTGGCAGGCCTGCACATGGGTAACATATAGGGTGGAACCAAGGTGCTCCTGTCAACAGCCCCAACTGACCTCCCAAGAAATGACATCAGCACTCATGATCCATGGAAGTGAGCTCTCTTGGGTATTCCAGATGAGTGGAGCTCCAGATAACAGAGATGACAACACCATTTAGCCTTAAATGACAGATACCACATAGAGAAAAAGTACCCAGTTATCCTTGTCAATACACAGACTCCAGAATGATAATAAATGGGTATTGCTTGAGAGTTTTAAGCAAAAATGGAAATCACATTCTTGTGGCCTAACATGCAGTCTTTCTTTTTTGTGTGTGGTTTGCTATCATTGCACAATATAGGAATTCTCTTATCCCTGAAACTTGGCTATAACTTTGGCTATAATCTGTAGGGCAGTTTGTGTGTAGGTGTCAAGTTCTGAACATTTCCTGAATTCCTCTGTGAAGGAATTTCCAAAAGAATTTTCTCTATATGATTTTCACACCTCTACTGAAGTTTGGAACCTAATTCCAACCCATCTCCATAAGATGAGCATCCACTGCCATCACTCATATTCAGGAATTGAGAATATTTTAGTACAAACTGTACCCTGAGCCATATGAAAAACTATCTTTAGCAGGTTGTGTAATGAGTGTGTAACAATGACAAGGGACATTTATTCACCTTAAAAAGTGTTGTCCTGAAACACTGTCTCCTGCTACAGGGGTTGCCCTTGGCAAGAAAGTCACTTTCATTAGGGGTCACACAGGCAAGACTCCTTCAGTAGACAGCTGATAGGTAAGTATTGCAGGCCTTGGCCTTTGTGACTGTCCCTAAATAGCCCTACAGGTTGGATAAGTCTGCCCCATTCTGGGGATCATTAGTAGGAAGATGACTGGCAAGCCAGTCTAAGTCACATTCTTCAATATCAGCTTTATAGGAATAACGTTGTTATGATGTTTTATATTTTGGTCCCATATCTCAGATTTGGAGCATCAGTGTCTTTTGGGTGCTCCTTAAAGACATAAGCATTGTGAAGTAAAAACAGGAATATTTGGAGCAATAAAACAGAAAAAGTGGTCTGGGGATATAACTCAGTGGTGGAGTATTTATCTAGCATGTGAAGGCCCTGGGTTTCATCCCCAACACTGAAAAAGAAAAAGGAAGAAAGAAAGACAAAACAAATCAAGAGCTGTGGGCCCATTTTAAGATCCACCCAGAGGTTAGAGAACAAGTGCTCCTAAAGGGCAGGTGACTACCAAGAGTCTTGAGGGGAGAGACCCTGGATGTACAACCCCTATTTATCTTCCCAAACCAAGTCATTCATGTGATGGAGAAGGAGTGAATATACAGAGAGGGAGATGTGTTTTTGTCAGGAATGTCTTTCCACATTGAAGAAAATATCAGGGATAGAGATTAAGAATTCCTCAGGATTAACCAATATTGAAAAGAGTATTGTTTCTCAACTGAAGAGATTGTTATTCTACTCCTGCCTCCTTGAAATAAATCAGATTTCCAAATGATAAATTTTGTGTTTTTTAGTTCATAGAGTTGAGTAATTAGGAGCAGTATCTTAGTTTTCCAAGAGATGGATAACTGCTCAGAATGGTGTATTTATGTGCTCACCTACAGAGGGCTGCCTCATCACCAGGATCCCTAGGAAGTATTCTTGGTAATCTGTGTGCTGGTGCTATTTCCCTAAGTATAACTTTTATTTTAAAAGTTCTCTTTTTGTGTGTGTGTTCTTTTTTATTTTTAATTTTTTTGCAGGGTACTGGGGATTGAACCCCAGGGGTGCCAGCCCCTGAGACAAATCCCTAGCCCTTTTTGTATTTTGTTTAGAGACAGCGTCTTGCTAAGTTGCTTAGGGCTTTGTTAAGTTGCTGAGGCTCACTGTGAACTTGCAATCCTCCTGCCTCAGTCTCCTAAGCCACTGGAATTTAAGGTGTGCGCCATCGCACCTGGCTTTTAAAGCCAAGACAATTTTGGGCATCAGGAACATGCTTTTTTTCCACCAAATTGGGCAGAGTTCCTCAAATTGCCTTATCCCAAAGTTAGTCCCTCTAATTAGAGTGTTTTCTCAGGTGGTGGCCTGAAGTGTGAAGGGATTTATTTTTTTCCTCAGTTAAAAGAAAGATGACAAAGAGCCAAGAAGAAACACTTTCAATTTGATGCAATGGTCTGCACTGCTGGTTGCCCTAGTAACCTGATATCATCCTGGTGACCCTGAGGACTTTTTACTGGTGATAGGAGCTAGGCCCCTCCTTAAGGACTTTGGACTCCTCTGAGGGTGTGGACAGAGTTCTTCCCATTGACTGTATCTGAACCTAGTTCCTCTAAATAGTATACTTTCTCATGTGCTAGCCTAAAGAGTGAGGTATCTTGCTTTTAGTGAAATATAAGGGGACAAAAAATGGGCCTCTGGAGAAACATTTCTGGTGGGAAAGACCACAGATGTCATAGAAAACTGATGTAATTATGGTAGCCATGGCAACTGTGACGCCATTCTTAAGGAGAAAGAGTTGGTCTGGTGAGCATCCAGCCTCCAAGTATTTGAACTAAGTGAGGGTGTGTGTGTCCCCTGGTGGGGGCTACCATACCTGGGGTGTGGGGAGAATGGGACACAAGACCCTAGTTGTCTCATTCCTGCTCTCAGACCTGCTGCCCCACTGACTCGAGAGGGAGAGAGATGTGGAAACTTTCCTGACTCAAGGCAGCATGCCATTATTGAGGGACCATAAATGCCTACATGAATGCAGGCCACTTATTCCTTTTCAAAATTTTTTGTTAGTGGAAGAAAGATGAGTAAAAGTGAAAGAATAGGCTCTGGTGTGAAGCCCATTTTACCTTCTCACTGCTGTGATTCTTACCTAGGTGTACCAGTGCCATTAGTCACTGAGGCAGTGCCTAGCATTGTGCAGGCACATCATTAGGCTGATGAGGCACAGTGATTTCTGGGTTCTGTTTCTCTCTGTGAAGCTCCTACTTGGGTTTGTATTAAGTGTGTGAAGGAGGGGGTTTCTGAAGATCTGAGTGGTGATGGCTGCTGAAGCTTTTCCTCATCTAAAGGGAGCAGTGCTCAGGAGAACCCAACACTTCCATCCCTGGTAGGATATGAGTGAGTCCTGGTTTAAGTGAGCTCATAGATCATTCATAACCTTGTAGTAGAATAGTATCTACCAGGTTGACAAAATCACCTAAAGTAGAACATCCCTTTTGACACTGTCAAGGGAAAAGGAAATGGAGTTTTATCCCATTGGCTTCTTATGTGCTTGGTTGTGGCCTTTTAGGCTCATCTCAGAGATGGCTTCTTAGTCTGACAGCAGTGAGTCCTGCATCTTGAGGTAAGAACCTAATATTGAACATGTAATTTAAATAAATTTCATATATTTTTATTGTATTGTTACAAAAATACAGAAAATTATGCAACTGGAAAAAGACAAGCAGCATTTGGAGTTGCAGAAGAGCAAGGTTTATTCAGCAGTGGTGCAGACTCGGTGGAGGCTTCTTCTAAAGCTGAGCACAGCCCTTTGTTCTCAGTGTCTTTTACACAGAACAGACTTCCAGTTTTAAGACTTTCTTGTGGAAGTAGACTTGATCCTTTTTCTTTCTTTTCTGGCAACTCTGGTTCTTGCCACAGCTGCTAAGCAAGCATGATTACAGAAGCTGAAACTATCAGGATGCAGTTATTAACAGAGAAAGAAACATCTTAAGTAGTTGCTGCCTCATTTCCCCCCTCTTGATACTCAGGATGCATCTGCAGACTTCATGAGCATCTTTTTTTTTTTTTTTTTTCATGTGATGGGATCCTCTCATAATAGATGAGAGGCTGTCTGTTTTTAACTTTCACTGTCTCTATAAAACCTCTTATACCACCGATTAGGAGGGGTAGGAGGCAATGAATATGCAGGCACCCAATAAATATGGCCATCATCACATAACTATGATCATCAATCATTGTCTTAATTCCACCTATCCAAGAGGACCATCTTCTGAAGAGGCCGAGTCTCATCCTTTCCAAGTCTGTACAGGCACATGGGCAATTTTTACCATATGATCTGTGATCTCTTTTATAATTTTACCTGGCCATCTATTTGTAAGCAGCAGTTCTCAAGTTGAATTTTTCACAGACTCCTCCATCAGAGGCAAGTACATACTCTAAGGCTAAACAAAGGGTTCTGGTAAAGGGCATTCCACATCTAAGTTTGGTTTTGAGCCAATATATTGAGGGCCTCTGCGGATTCATTTGGTAAAGTGCCTGTTATCTTATAATGCAGTTTATCATATAGATAGGGTACAGTATTCCCAAGACCCATCTTCTGCCCAAGGGGCAGGTCCATAGTACTGAATACTACATTCTGGGGGCCACTTATCATCCTTCCAATCACCAATCTGCAAGTCCCTTTGGTTTTTCTTGGTGCCCTGTGTTTTACATATCGGGATTCCCAATTGTTCTTTTTTTGATAATGGGAGCAAGAAGAAACATGGTCGTATTGTCCCTAATACAAATGCCCTAGACAAGTTACAAGAAAGCACAGAATAGGCCATCTTTCCACATATCCAATATAATCCTTTGGAGGCTTGGCATTGGAGTCTGGCACTGACATCACCCCATGCCTGTTGGAGGTGAGAGAAATTAGGGAGGGGGTTAGGATTAGGCTCCCTGTATTTTGAGGAACCCCAGGATTGGGTTTTCAGAGTTGTCACATTATAGTACCTGTGGCCGAAACATATTAGTCTCCCAACAGGAACACTGCATTGCTTTTCTCTTTTGGCAAGGCAGTTTCTGCCTATGATGGACGTTTTGAGGAACCATATTCCATCGAGACATTGGAGGTGCCTGGTCTCATTGTAAGGCTCCAGTGGGTCTAATTCTGTAGCCTGACAATGCCATTGGTCACCCATATCTGTTCCCCCACATACATAGCAAGAAGAGACCTTTAAGGTTTGTGCAGTGGTCTCTGCTAAGGCTAAGAACGAGTTCTTAGTTTTGACAAATATTGGTGGTAGGGTGTTTCCTTTCTCATAAAATGAATGAGTGATCTGGTGAGAGGCAGTTTGGAGTGTGACTGTAACCCTTTGGAAGTATAACAGAATTCCAGGGTCAGTACCCCACCCATGTATGCGTATGCCAATCATAAAGCCCTCCTTCCATCTGGGTTCATTTGTGTTATAAATGGTGAAATTAACTGGGTTACAGGTTTTAGTTGTGCAGTCAGGAGGAGCTGTGCCCTTTTGAAGGATGGCTACTTTGTCTCCTTTATCCCATGTAGTCCAGGACTCACATCCCCAATAGGGACAATAGAATTCATCCATAGCCCTGCATCTGGCCCAGAAGGATATGTGTTGCTCACACATATATTTATGTTGAAACCTGTATGATCGTTCCCATGATAGGCTTCCACAGGGAGTTGCCCCTTCCTGCAACCAAGATCCATCCATAGCTTCACAGGCATCAAAGAGAACTGACACTGGTAACTTTGGGTTGGTGATTAGCGTTCGAGTGATTAGAGTCCCTTTCATGTAACGGCGCCGCATCTCTAACCACTCCTCATTTGGTGAGTATTGTGGGTCAAAGCATGTATATTGGTCCCCATGTTTACAAATGGAATAAATAGTTCCATTGTGAATACAACCCTCCTGAATTTCTCCTGGGCAGGAGAAATGGGTGGAATAGAGGAAGGTCCATGCAACTCCCTGGTGGGATAGAGTTACTTGGATACATGGGTCACATGAGGAGGGGGAATCTGGCAGGACTGTGGGGGACCAGATGAATAACAGCAAGCAATAGCAATAAGCATACATGCTGAGAAAAGGAAAGCAGTATATAACAGTAAGGAAATATTTGTAGAGAAAAAAATCAGTTTGTGTATTCACCAGGTGATTGACACCTCAGGCTTCAGCCGTGCGTTGACTGACCAGCTTCCGGTGTGGCCAGAGCAGGGCCTTGGGATCGTTGTCTCCTCCTTTGTAGTGTCAGGTGCAGGGGTCTCTCTGGATAAGGACTGTCCTCGAGCTCGTCTGATCCTCAATTGGGCCAGCAGGTTTGACTCTGGAGTGGTGGATCCAGGCTTCTACTCCTGTTACGTTGAGAGCAATAGAAATGGTTAAGATTACAGTGTAGGGCCCCTTCCACGTTGTTTTTAAGGGTCCCTTTTTCAGTCTTGTATCTATACCTGGTCCCCAGTTCTGCAGGGGTGAACAGCTATACTCAAGGATATGGGTATTCTATCTGTGACCTACTTGTATATGTGAGAAATGGGGAGCCCCATCCTTGTAGATGCTTATGTAAATCTAAGTCTCCCAATTCTCTTATGTCTCACCTTAAGCTGATGAGCAGGGGCGGTTGCCCATATAGGATTTGAAATGATGAAAATCCTATACTTGCCAGGGGTGAACATGTCAGTTTTAAGAGGGCCTTGGGTAACATGTCTATCCAGGACAGGCCAGTTTGTTGACATAGTTTAGCTAAAGTTATCCTGAGGGTTCAGGTCACATAGTTTCCAATGAATTTTAAAGCCCTTGCC